GGAGGAGGAGGAGGAGGAGGAGGAGGAGGAGGAGGAGGAGGAGAAGACAAAGAGACATGAAGGGAGGGGAGGGAAAAGGAGGGAAGAGAGGAGAAGAAATGGCACCATTTATTCAAGGCATGCCATATATCACATCCAGAGGCCACCAAAGCACTAGATACTGAATATCATGCAGTAGTAAATATAACAAATCATGTCACAATGGGCAGGGAGAGCTATTGCACATCCTTCAGTGGCCTGAGTCCTTGAAAACTATTTTAGAAACAAAAGAGAAGTCTTGGGAATAATAAAGCAGTCAGGGTCATATGACAGACTCACATGAAACAGGATGTAATCGACTCTCCCACATTTCATATCTGCTATTTTTTTCTCTACTGACTGGGCAACAATCACACATGAAAAGGATTCTCAAATCAGCATGCATTCTCCAGAGATGAAGAAAAATTCCATTATTGTTAACACTTAATTATAACCATATTAGCAAATAATTTTTACTCAGTTTCAAAAATGTTGTGAACAGCTACCATGCTTTCCTCAACCCTCATAATAACAAAGAAATACCAATTCCTTATCATCTATGGATGCCAGATCAAGACCATGGGAGCTGGGAGTGAATTAGAACCCGGATATAAGTTTATGTTACTTCTGTTAGAATTTGGCCCAAGGCATAAAAATTAGAAAAAGCTTCTGAGAGGAAGAGTGGCCTGCAACATGTTAAGATGATTCTTGCCACTTAACTACATGTGTCTTCCATTATCAGAACAAAATGTTAATGAGCACAGAAATCCAAACACTTCCAAATTACTTATTGGAACTTTTTGCTGCACTGTGTTTGTTACCAGATGCAAACAAGAAAGACAAATTTAAAAATTTTAGAAATATCACCAATTATAGGTGTTATTGGATAGTGCATCTTTGTGTCTGCTTCACAGTAGTCAGAAGACCAATATGTGAGGCAGGTTCACTGTGCGTGGATACCAAACCCAGGGGAAGACTCCCGACACCTTGCCAATATCATATACAGTACCAATTCACTTTCACAAGTCCAGTGAGACAGAAAACTTCTACAGTAAGTTAAGTAAAGCAACTTTATAACTCAGAGATAGGCAGCAAGGGAATAATTAAAGCCTAGGATTCTTGGCAAGCTGGTCTTTCAAGGCTCAAGAAAGTTGTCTAGGACAGATGGAGTCTTGTCCATGCTTGTCTCGCATCACATCTCAGCTGAGTGACATCAAAAGAGTCATCCATTCTGAGTTTTATACCCAGGAGCCACTGGACACTCTGGATAAAAGTTTTGAAGGACACCCTGTTCTGAGAGATGAAAATAAACCCTGGACGACTGTCCTTATCTCAGGATGTTTCCGTTCCAGCAGATTCTACAATTATTCTTGAGAACTACAAGTGAAAGGTGGGAAGAACTGGGTCACCAAAGCCGTTGGGAGGCTTATCTCGCACAACGATCATTACTTCTTCACCAGAGAATGAAACCAAAATATTTCATAGCATTGATAGCTTGAGAGGTGGGCATTCTGATACCTTGGATAGTCACCGTCTTCCTCAATGTTCTCCAGGCCAACATTTATCAAGCATTTGCTATGTGCTTAACCTGTGTGGATTCATTTAATTCCTATAGAAAGTGTATTTGTTTGGGTGCTCTAGGGAGTAGACATCAAAATTGAATTAGATCTATTAAGAAATTTATGGGGACACAGTTTTGAGGAGAAAAGAGAAGAAGGTAGGAGAAGTCATAATGCAGGTCTGACTGCTACGGTAGACCTGAAGAAAAAGAAGTTTGGGTAGAAAAATTTTAGCTGACAGTACAGTTTTAAGAAAATCTCTGGGGAATCCTTAGTCAAGGCTGCCTCTTAAAGGTACCCACATCTACCAAGAACAGGTCTACCTTAGTATCTCCACTGGGCTCCATCATCACCATGAGAAGCGTGGCCTGGGTGTGAAGGCTGGGATGTGTCGACAAGGCAGCTGGGGAGGTCTTCAGTCTGGATCACCTCCTGCAGTCAGAGACCTGGGAGGGCTGCTTCCATGTTCTTCAGTCTGGATCCAATCAGGAGAGAGAAACAGCATGTAAACAAGAGAGGTTTAATATAAAGATTCAATAAACAGTGATACAAGATACAAAGCCATTCTCTATGGTACTTTAGGGCTTAGGGAGAATACCAAAGGAAGGCCAAACTTGGAAGGGCTTTGAGGTTCAGACCTCATTGCAGACATAGCTTAGACCTTGACAGCAGGGACATTTGCTAAAATTGCCACATGCTGTCACCAGGTGAGCAGAAAGAAGGGCTCTGATTTGCAGGAGATCAGCAGCCAATGGTGTACATGTGCAGAGAGAACAGCATCTCAGAAGGAAACATGTACACATGGGCTTGCAGAGGGATGGGAGATGCAGTATGACAGGCCTTTGGGGTGCTGATTTCTGGGTTGTGAGGTCATGGGATGATCACCAGGATGGACTGAGATTCTGAAAATGAGACTAGGGCAGAGCTGCCATGGATTGTCTATAGTCATTTCTCCAACAGTATCCCCGTCTCAGTACACTGTCCTGAGGAGGATGACCACAGTGCCCACAGTGAAGGGAAGATGTGAAGGAATGAACTTTGGAGCTGAGGAGCAATGTGGTGATGTGTTGTTGATAACTGGGATATGTGATCACCTTGGAAAACCTGAGGTTAATACTTTCTATAGTTATCCCTTTTCACAGAGGAGAAAATTAAAGGTTGGGGATATTAAGTAACTTGCCATCACATTTTTAGCAAGAGGAAGAACTGGAGTTCCAGACTTAAGTCTCTAAGATCCCAGAGCTCATGTCCTTAACTACCATGCTGCATTACTATGACTCATCACAGAACAACTAGAATCCTTTTTATATCCCCTGTTTACAACAGGGAATTTTTTTTTCTGGGTTTTATTAGCATATCATCAATATAATTTTTTAAATTTTGTTTTGTTTTTTGGATGTTTGTAGACTTTAGAAGACATCATTTCCTTTACATTCTGTAATAGTTCTGCTAAGCTTCTTAACCAGATGTAAAGAAAATAAACCTGCCTCATATAAAAGAATCCAAGATGACAAAGGGATAGGTCCAGGAGGAGCAGTTAAAGTCTCTGTGGTCATTGTACCTCGGAGAAAAAAATGGGAAAGAAGTGAGACCTGGGGCTCAGCCTCTGAAGGATTCCTCAGTTGAGAGAGTAATCCACTTTTCTCCTTTTTCCTCTGTGGAATAAATGCAAGAAAATTAACTCATAAGAAAACCAGACAGATTTCTGCTGACTTCAAGAACTTCCTAACCATTACAATGATGAAACACCAGAATAAACTTCCTGGTGAAGTGTTAACATTCCCAGAGATATTAAAAAAGAAAATCAAAACTATCTATCTTGAATAATTTAAACATTCTTCTCGATGAAAGTAGCAGTTTGTTAACATGCTCCCCTGTCCCAGAATTCCAATGCACCTTAGTCTTCTTTATCTCTTTCTTGCCAACAGAGGTAGATGCCTTACAAGGACAGTAGACCAACAAGGGTATTATTGATAATAGTGCACATGTCGAGTGCTCACACTCACCAAGTGCTGTAAACATTTTGTTCTCACCTTTGCAACAATACAAAGCAAGCATCGTCACTTTCATGTTACAGAATGTAAAGCTCAGAAAAGTCAAGTAACTTTTCAAAATTCACACAGTTAATCAATAGAATTCTAACCCAGAACTATGTATGTCGAAGTCAATGAGGCCTTATAGATAAACTTTCAGTGGGGGTATTAGTCAACTTTCCATCAAAATACCTGATAAGAACAATTTAGAGGAGGAAAAGTTTATTTGGGGTTCATGGCTTCAGAGCTCTCAGTTCACAATTGACCAACTCCACTGTTCTGCGTCTCAGGTGAAATGGCATACTATAGCAGAAGAGCCTGGCAAAGGAGAGTTTCTCAGTTCCTGGTGGCCAAGAAGCTGAGAGGACAGGAGGAACAACAAGGAGAAGATACAGTCCCTAAGGATATACCACCAGTAAACTACCACTTCCAGCTACACCCTACCTGCCCATTACCACCTAGCACAGTAGTCCTTTCAAATTAATCCATCAAATGGATCAACCCACTGATCAGGGTATAGCTCCCATAATCTAATTATTTCAATCCCTGCATTTACACAGGAGCTTTTAGGGGATACCTCATGTCTAAACAATAAAGTGGGAGGAAGACTTTACCAGATACCTTGGAGGTTTCCACCCTGTCGTGACCCCTCACCGGCAAAGGAAACACGACACAGGATTCTTCTTTCAGCAGTTTACTCAGGACCTTTGAATCATGATGAGAAAACAGGAACAAGAAAGGAAAGAGCGCGAGCGGTCGGTCTGCCCTAGCTTAAGTACCCAGCCTCGCCAATGAACTAGCACCACATGGAGGAGTCTAATAGGTACAGCACAGCTGAAGCAGGCCAGAGCCCAGCCCCACAGCCTTACAAGGAGTTGTTTACTTCTAACAACTCTAACCGCTAAGTCATCAGAAGCAGGAGGCCAGCGCCATTTTCAGGGTGCGGTCGCCGGCTCCCAACACCACCCCACCCCTGAAAACTCTCCAGAACACCCTCAAAAATCTTCCAGCCAACTTAACACTGTATTCCTTGGAAATTACAAATTAGGTAGGCCACAAATAGGAAAAAAAAAAGATAACTAATAAACAAGTAGAGAACATGCATTAGGGCTGAAGGTATGGCTCATCAGCATTCTCAAAGCCCTGGATTCCATTCCCAGCAAAGGAAAATAAAACAGAAACAGAAAAAGAAAGAAAGAAAGAAAGAAAGAAAAAACAAACAACATACAAACATGCCATGACTATATCTCTGCTACCTGGGCCTCATGAAACGTCAGAGTTGACTGGGTTGACAAAACTAATCTGGAGGGGAGGAATAAATGATGCAGCCCTAGTAAAACACAAGAAAAGCGGCCCCATTAGTTTTGCAACTGGAAAGTGTGAACCTGAACAATTGTAGCAGTGTTCGCAGAAATGGAGGAAATGCACAACCCCTGGTGTTTCTCAGAGGAATCGGATTTCTGTGTTGTAGAAGTAAAGAGTCCTTCTTAAGCCCGTACTATTAATCATCTGCATCTGAGGTCCCAGATGACAGAGCAAATCCCTTTGATAGGGATGTCTCTGGGATGAGGCTCCTCTTGAGAACAGTGACTCAGTGTGGTGACTGCTACCTTTCCCAGGGAACAGGCCTCACCATGACCTCCCTAGCTGCACCAGCTGGCCAGCTCAGGATCCCAATCATTCCCCTATATTCCCCTATCCAGGTGGCTTCAAGCTCAAAGTTACTTATGAGAACTCTGTAAGAAACTTACCCCCCCCCAAACTCTATTTGTTTTGGAAGATTTCTGCGAAATACTGTTTAATCATCAAAACATGGCCTTCATCCTTCACCTCTTTCAATATTAAACAAAATAAGTACTGGAGTTTTGATACAAAAATAAATAAAGACTTTTCATGTTGTCAAAGGGTTCATAAAGTCATATAGGAGATAAAAACAGCAATAACCACAACACAATGTGATCCCTGGTGAAAGTATCTTAAGATTGTGTGTAAACAGAGGGAGGGTCACTAGCTGTGGACATCGGAACATGCTCTCCAGGAATGGAGGATTGAGCCCAGTTTTCTGTGTTAGTTAACTCAGGCGGCCATAGCAAAATACTACAGACTGTGTGACTTAACAAGACATTTACTTTCTCACAGTTCTGGAAACTGGGAGTAAAAGATTAGGGTGTCACCCATAAGACCTCATTTAACCTTAATTATCTCCTAAAATCCTTATCTCCAAATACAGTCACAGGAGAGCAAGAAGTTCAACATATGGATTTGAAGGGACACAAGTCAGTCCCTAACACCTTCAGAATGATAGGGATTGGCCAAGTGAAGGTAGTTGAAGCAGAGAGGGTATTAGAGGTAAATATACTAGTGTTCACAGATTCAAAGACTTCACCAGAGCTGGCGCATCAGAGGGATGCAGAGTTGTCCAACATGGCAGACACAGCAGAGACTGGAGAGAACTGAGCAGAAAGGAAAATCTGGAATGCTTTCTAAGCACAGTGTATGTCATGTGAGCAGTCAGGTTGTTGGCAGAACTTTTAATAGAGGAGTTGAACAGATTTGCATTTTAGAAAAAAAAGAATGTGTTGGTTCCTATTTGAAGTATAAATAATAGGACAAAGGGAATCGGAATTTGGGATCCAAGCCATGGACACCACAATAGCCACAATAGTCCCAGGAAGGATGATAAGGGTTTTTGCCAAGGCAGTAGCAATGGATGTGAGGATGCTGAGAGAGGTTTGAGAGTTATTTAGGAGGCAGAATAGGGGGATAGAGAATGCAGAAGGGAAAAAACAAAAACAGGAGAGTCCTAGTTCTTTGGAATAGGTGGTTGGGTGGTATTTGTGTTTCTCTATTATTATTCCCCTGAGTTAGAGCTCCATGCTCTGCATGCTGGTTGTTACAGTTGTTCTGTTCACGGCTTATGCTTCTGCTCTTTCCATAAGTCTCACTTAGCACAGTGGTAGGTCTAACAGGGATGAAAGAGCAAAAAGACACAAACCATGGTCATAAGAATTTGAACAAGCAGTTAATAATGGTGGGAAATTTGGTGAAATAACAACATCATGATTTGAATCCCATGTATGCAGATATCTTGTACAATGTACATTTATTAACAATAAAATTAATGGTAAATATAGAAGCTTACACACTAATTCAAATCTTATGTAGCTCCAGATGAACATTTAAGACACATTTAGTATTTCCAGAAACCACGATTATAATACCAATTTCTACCTCTATTTGTAGTTCAAAGATTATTCCTGGAACACACATGTTCAATATCCTGACAATTTCTTTAGTCATATTGGTCAAGTCAGCCTAATAAAAACACAGTGCAAGCCACAGCTATGAGCTATGCATGTAATTGTAAACTTTCTAATAGTCACATTTTAAAGGTAAAAAGAAATAAGTAAATTAAATTTTACAATATGCCATTTAAACTAAT